CTGGACGGGTCGAGGGGCGGGGTCAGCTCTCAGGCCCGCCTCCCCGAGCTCCTGTAAGCGGCCTGGAGCTGGGCACCCCAGCTCTTCCAGGGGCTTCAGGTGAGCAGGGGGCACCGAAGGGTCAGGACGCCTCCCCGGAGGTCGGGCCGTTGGTCGGGCCGCGGGTCCATCTGTCCTGCCGTCTGCCAACAGCGGCCTCCGCGGAGAATGGGAGAACAAAGGAGGGGGCGGTTCTGGGGCCCCCGAGGGAATGCAGGGTCGCAGGTACCCCGCCCTGCCCGCTGACAGTTTCGATTTCTCCCTGAGTCAGAGGCGCCTCCCTAGAGACCCTGAGCCGGCGGCGGGCGCAGCCGCCTGTCCGCGTTTGCCTGTCCGTCTTTGTGTCTGTCTCTGGGTCTGTCTGGCTGTGCCCGAACTTGCCTCAGCCGCTCAAACTGAGCCTCCCGGACACCCCGGTATCCCGCCAACTCGCCCCTCTCCCATGGCAGGTAAGTGGGCGCCGGGTGGAGGGTCTCCGTTATCCCCCCACAGACTCGGGAGCCGGGCGTCGAACCCATCCTCCGGGAATGTGCTCCGACTGGCTGCGTGGGCCCCTCCCTTCCTCCGGGAGCCGCCGCCCTGCTCCCCCGCCGCATCTTTCTCGGCCTCTTCCCATCACACTCCCCACTCCACAGCCTCGCGGCCCGGCGCCTGGGGGAAGTGGGTGAGGCCGCTGGTCCCCTTCTAATCCACCCCTGTCCCCCTCGACAGGCTACTTGCCCCACAAAGGGCACGCCCCTTCACCCCCACCTCCCTACCCTGTGACCGCGGGGTACCCGGAGCCGGCGCTGCACCCCGGGCCCGGGCCGGCGCCAGTGCCCGCCCACGTACCTGCCCCTGCGCCCGGCTTCTCTGTCTTCCCCTCTCCCGGCCCGGGAGCCCCAGGGCCTGCCGCCCCGTTCTTGCCACTGCCCGGGGTGCCTTCCGGCCTCGAATTCCTAGTGCAGGTGAGTGGGAGGGAGGAGGGGTGGCGGGATGAGGAGTGGACCCTGGCGTCCAGGCCAACCCACTGACATCGCTGCCGACCCCACTCTCTTTCCAGATCGATCAGATCTTGATTCAACAGAAGGCTGAGCGCGTGGAAGGTGAGTGGAAGGGGGAGTAGGTTGGGCCTCATGGCGGGGGGGCGGAGAGGGTGCTCTCTCGGGGGTGCCCGTGCCTGAGCCTCGGCCTGTCCCCCGTGGCAGCGTTCCTAGGCTGGGAGACCTGTAACCGGTATGAACTGCGCTCGGGGGCTGGCCAGCCCCTGGGTCAGGCGGCGGAGGAGAGCAACTGCTGTGCGCGTCTGTGCTGCGGCGCCCGCCGGCCCCTGCGTGTCCGCGTGGTGGACCCCAGTGACCGCGAGGTGCTCCGCCTGCTCCGCCCCCTCCACTGTGGCGGCGGCTGCTGCCCGTGCGGCCTCCAGGAGGTGGGCGGGGAGAGCCGGGGACGATGAGGGGTTCGGGCTGGGGGCCAGGCCATCGTGGGGAGGACCACTGACTGAGCACGGTCCGCTCTCAACGAGGCGTGGGCTCGGCCCGGTGAGATGGGCGGCCGTGAGGGCGGTGACAAGTGGTCTAGCGAAAGGGACGGGAGGTCTTGTGCGGGGATGACAGAGCCTGACCGGTGAGAGCTTGGGCCGGGGTGCCCTGGCTCGGCTGATCCTGTCTGCCTCCCACTCCAGATGGAAGTCCAGGCTCCCCCCCGGCACCACCATTGGCCACGTGCTACAGACCTGGCACCCCTTCCTCCCCAAGTTCTCCATCCAGGACGCGGATCGCCGCACTGTCCTGCGTGTGGTGGGGCCCTGCTGGACCTGTGGCTGCGGCACAGACACCAACTTTGAGGTACCGGGAATAAGGGGAGAGTCCTGGGACCTTCGTAAACCCAGATGGCAGCTTCTGTGAGGTGGGATGGCCAACACGAAGGTCAAGACCCTGAGCTCTAACATCTAAACCCACTGTGACTCGTACCACACTTCCAGGGTTCCTCCACTCAGGAAGGGATGTCCCTGTGGTCCTGAGACATGAAAGCTTGGCAAAGAGGGTGTCATCTTAGGGACCAGTGCTGATGGTCGTCAGCAGCCCTGTGTGGAAGGGGAAAGAGTCTAAGGCCAGGCCTGATTTAGGGCAAGTCTGCTGTGGGCTGGACCCAGGTGGCTGCTTTGCAGGAGTCTGTGAACCCAGACCCAGGAGCAAGCACCAGACTTGCTAAGGTCCTGCCGCTTGCCCCGCCAACCTAGAAGTCCAAACAGCCCCTCCAACCGGGAATCCGGGTGATCTATATCCCTGTCATCATGCATTTCTCTCATCTGCCGGGAGAGCCCAAGTGCTGATACTCTCAGGGGAAGGTTTCTAGAAGACAGGCATCTCACAGACATTTGAGTTCCCTTAGGGATAATCACCCGTACAGATAAGGGAGGGAGAACAGGTAGAAGCCCACAGACTTCCCAAGGCTGTTGATGAGGTGTTTGGCCTAAGCCTGCTTTTAAAATTGGAGTCACCTTGGTGTGTGGGTGGAGGTTCCTTGATGGGAAGATCACCGGTGAGCTCTGGATAGGAACATGGAGACCTCGGTGCCCTCACAGGGCCAGTCTCCCTTTTACCTAATTGTAAAGGATCCCTATTTGGGGCTGCAGTTGGGACCCCAGGGCTGGCCGGGAGAAGCCCTTCCTCATCTTGAGACTGGTCTGTGGGAGTGCCCCAGCTCTGGGGGGCACTGGGGAAAGGTGACGGGAAGGGCATCATTCCAGTCATGAAGACTAAGCCTAGGAAAAGGACCAGGGGATCACTCTGAGTTCCCACCCTCAGCGGCAGGGTCTCTTGCTGCTGGGCCCAGGGAGGCCCGTGGAAATCTGGGTCCTCACAGGCCACTTACTGCTGCGCCCATAGAAGCGGGTGGACGAAGCTGGCATGTGATGGTGGACAGGGCCTGTCCTACTTTGCAGATTCGAGGAAAACCACCCCTTCGGGCAGCCACAGCCTTCCAGGAGCCTGGGGGGCTCCTAGAGCTCAGCCTGCCCAGCCCTGCTTGACCAGGCTACTGTGTTCAGGGCACCCAGGGCACCCACCATGGGTGCCGGGTACTTTGGTAACCAGAGCAAACCCAGCCGGCAGCCCTGCGCTGAGACGAGCCCATCACACTTCCACGTGTCCCACCGCTGATGTTCTGTTCTCACGTGTGGCCTTTTAAGAGCCACACATCCGAGCCCGAATTCTGATTTTTGCTATACACACACAGCATGACCTAGGCTGACTCAGTTTCCCCCGATGTCACGTGGAAACCTGGGGCTGTCGGAAGGATTCCCGGAGTGGAGGGCCTGCATGGTTCGTGCGGGGTCATGGTGGGGGGTCAGTCGCATCCTTCCCAGTTGGGTTCTGCCCCCCACCCCCCACCACCAGGTGAAGACCCCGGATGAGTCCCGCAGTGTGGGCCGCATCAGCAAGCAGTGGGGGGGGGCTGCTCCGAGAGGCCCTCACAGATGCAGATGACTTCGGCCTGCAGTTCCCCCTGGATCTGGACGTGAGGGTGAAGGCCGTGCTGCTGGGAGCCACATTCCTCATCGTGAGTTGGCCGCCCTGCCTCCCCTCCTGCCCCTCTGCTCTCACGCCAGGCTTTGAGCTCTGGTGACAGTGCCCTCCCCTCAGGACTACATGTTCTTCGAGAAGCGAGGAGGTGCTGGGCCTTCGGCTATCACCAGTTAGAGGCCACCTCGGGGTGAGGAGAACATCACCTCAATGGGGATCCAAGATGGCGGCCTGCCCCAGCTCCTCCTCAGAGGCAGCCCCTTCCCTGGATGCACATGACAGGGGACAGACGGGGATGCCTGAGAGTCTAGGGGCCATGCGGCCCTACCCCTACCCTCATTCCCCGGCCTCCTTCACCTCAGCCCCCAGAGAAGGGTATATAGGAGAGCCCTGCCCCTGCGACCTCCCACTGCCGTCTCTGGCGAGCCCCCAGCGTGCAGGCATATCCGCTTTCAGACTCTCCCTCCCCTCCCCTTCCTCTCATCCCCTACCAGGCCTCTGCTCCACGTGTGGTCTGTGGAATCCAGAGCCCTGGGATTTTCTGACAGAGCCGGGGCTGGGGCCCTGCAGCACCAAAGATGGCGGCAAAGGCCGCTCTCCCCCTGCACCGGCTTGGCCAGCGAGTCCAGCCGCAGACCGTGGGCCTCTGAGGGGGTATCCCCACCTCCCTGTCAACAGCTATAGGGCCTGCCCTCCGGTGCCAACGTCCTTCCCCCTTGGGCCTTGCCCATAGCCGGCGCTTAGCAGCTCCCGTGCCTTACGCAAGCATCCCGTCCTTTCCTCGCCCGGGGAAGGAGGCTGCACCTTTGTATGTTATATTCATATAAAGTTTGTAACTTTTGGATACTGGGAGATGTATGTCATAGGAGAGTAGAAGAGTAGGTGCGGGGAGAAACCCAGGGAAACAGGGGGGCTTGTTGGGGGGGGTCTGGCCCGTTTCGCCATCCAGGCTGCCCAGGTCCAGTGTCTTTGAGTTCAAGAGGGCAACGCCATCCTCCATCATGGCCCCGGACTGAGCCAAGCAGTCTGGGCCACGTACCCCGAGTCCGTAGGGAGGCTTCTGCTATCTGGGATGGCTGCGCACACAGAGTCCGGCGTGGTGGGGCCCGGCCGCTCTGGATGGCTGTTCCCAAAGTCCTCCCGAGTAAGCGGAAGCTTCCCGTGGGTGTGATGTGCGACAGCTCTGTCTCTCCAAGTTCTCTTGGTTGGGAATACGGTAGGCAGACCGGACTAGATGCTTCTATGAACCAGCCAAGGGGGCTGGAGCCTTCAGAGGCCAACGGGCACGGGAGGAGATGCTCGATCATGCCTGGCCCCAGCTCCTGCTGCAGCTGCCTCCGGCACAGTCTCCCCGCGGAGGAAGTTCTGCCCTGGTGGGATCCCTTCTGGTTCCACTTGGTCCCACATGGCCAGGCCGTCCATCCAGGCTGGTATCCAGGCCCAAGGGGGCAGCGCTCAGGGCCGAGCCAGGACATAGCGACTGGCCGCGGAGAGATCCCACTGGTAATGCTCCAGGATGCGTCGGCAGTCGGCTCTGGACCGGCTGCTCAGATGGTAGAGCTGGTCCACCTGCGGGGTGGCAGGGGGGACAGTGAGTGCCGGGTGACGGGTGGGGGCCACGGGAGCGGCAGGAACCCGAGAGCAACGTCCGGCTTTACCTTGAGGTTCCGGATGGCAGAAACCACGTCTCCCCCAGTGGCCCTCAGTGCCGCCTGGCACTCCTGGTGGGTGACTCCGTGCACGCTCAGCCCCACCTGTGGGGCACAAAGCCTCGCTCAGGCTGCTGCCCCAGCCCAGAGCCCCCTCTGGACACCAGCCACTTGAGGGAGAGCTCACCTCCGTGACCCTCTTCTGCAGCTCAGAGTCGGGCAAGAGGCTTCCAGAGGGGACGGTGGCTTTGCCAGTGGCAGGCGCTCCCGAGGGCTGGCTGTGGGGGGGTTCCCTTTTGGGCCAAGGAGGCCGCTCCCTGAGGGGCTGGCTGGGCTGAGAAGGGCTGGGGGCAAAGGGGGTCCGGGATGGCAGGCCTGGGGGTCCCTGGGGCACAGCTCTGGCATGACGAAGTTCGGGGGGGCTCGAACCACCCCCTGTGGGGCGGGGACCCAGGGACAGAACAGACTCCAGACTCTTGGAAATGACTGTTGAGAAAAAAAAAATAGAGCTTGAGAGGGAGCACAGGCGCAGGGCCCTGCCTTCTCCCCACTCTGTGCCCTGCTCTTGGGGTGACCCTCGGCTAGGGGTGCAGTAGGGTGTGCCCAGCAGACACCCAAGTAGAGGCAGGGGAGGCCCCAAAAGGCTGAGGTGGCAGGAGCTGGAAGTGGGGTGGGCAGTCCCTCAAGTCCAGCCGGGCTGTCCAGTCAAGTGTGCCAAGTTCAGGACTCCAGGCAGGGGGAGACTTGATGAGTCGCTCTTGATCCCGAGACCCCGGAGGCCAGGTCCCCATCAGCCACGCCCACCTTTCATCCTCTGCAAGGGCACATTCCTGTTCCTTCTCTGGGCCCGTGCAGGAGGTAAATCCCGAAGCTTTGCCTTCCCTCTGTCCCTGTGGGAGACAGGGATCCCATTCACTCTCCACACCCCCACCCCTGACCCGACTAGCCGTGTCCCCTCCCCCAGAAATGTTGGGGGGCTCCCCCAGGCAGGCAGAGACTCAAAGGGGACACTCCAGCCTTCCCTCTAGCCTCGCCCGGGCCCCCTCCCCAAGCTTCTTTTCCAGAGAAGTTGCAGGACGTGGTTCCCCCAGCCCAGCTGTGTCCCCTCTCCGCACCCCACCCCACTGTTTCAGGTGCCCACCCATCTCCGCTTCCCTGCTGTCGCTCTCCCTGGGCAGGGGAGACCCTCTGGACCGGATGGGTGGCTGGCGGGCCCCCCCCCCATCTGCCAGCGTCACCGCTGAAGCCGGGAAGCTGCCCACTTTGAGTGTCCGGCCGTTCTGGCCCTTCCAGGTTGTGGAGTCGGGGCTGTGGGAAGAGGCAGTAGTGAAGGCGCCGGGCGGGGGCTGGGCGCGAGCCCACATTCAGCTCGCAAGCATCTGCCTGGAGGAAGGGAAGCTTTTTTTCTCCCAAACACAAAAGGGCTCTATGGGCTTGGTGGCTCCAGCCGGAGGCCACCACGATGGTAGTGCAGCTCTCGGGGCCCAGTGGGGTAGAGGGGAGGCAGAGAAGCCGGGTTCAAAGAGCTGGGGAGCAGCAGGTCGGACCCGCGTCAGGAAGGTGGGCTGGGAGTCCTCCTCTTGGGGACGTGTGGGTGGCACGAGGCTCTCACCTGCCATCGATGATGGTGATGGGGTCACCAGTCTGCATCCTTAGGGCACCTGGCTCCATGACATCCTGGACACAACGTCCCTCAGGAGGCCAGGCCTGCAGAGACAGGAGGAGAGGGTATCAGAGGGTGTGGCCTGAGTCCAACGGGTAATTTCGTGGGAGCAGGGAAGAAAGGAGACTCCTCTCTGTTCTTGCCCCCAACAATGAAACCCGTTCCAGCTATGTCCTCCTCGGTCCTGGGCCCAGGGTGGGACTGTCCCCGTCCCCCGGTTGTCATCCAGGAGGGGAGGCAGGCCTGGAGTCCATGCCAAGCTGACACAGCCCAGGGGTCAGCGAGCAAAAAAGGGGGGCCTTGTCTCTACCTAGGGGAACCAAGGCGAATGTCCCCTACCCTGCTTTTACTCCACACACAGCTCTGCCTCTCAGGGCCTCCAGAAATTTTCCATTTCTTTCCGGCCCCACTGCCTTGACCGTGAACCAGACATTGGCATCATTTCATTACTGCTTTGCAGCCCATCATCTACCTGCTCTTCCCATGTGTCCTGCCTCCTATCCCTTCTTGCACCAAGCCAGAGCGACAGAGCACATAACGTGGGCTTCTGACCCCCCCCCCAAAACCCTTCCATGGCTCCCAGGTGTCCTCGGAGTAAAGATTGAACTTCAACAACAGAGTTCAGTGATTTGGGTCATTTCACTGGTTTAACTGACTTAAGACCGCTCCTCTGCTTACTCTGTGAATTTAGGCAAAGCCCTTCAATGTCAATGCCATAACTGCCCCATCAGTAAAGGCCACGAAACAGTGGCCTTCCTGGATGGTGAGAATGAAGTAGTGGTGCAGGAAGATAGTCTAAGTGTCTTAGCGTGGTACATTCCACAGATCAAGCGCCCTGCATTAGCTCTGGTTATCTATGGCTCCTTCCTCATCCCTGCAGGGCGCCCCTGAGGTCACCGCGCTGACTTCCCTGAGTGGCCGGCTGAACTGCTTTAACTCTGCCTGGAGACACCCACAGACAGCAGCCCGCTGCTCTGAGCGCCCCCTTTTCTGGCCCAGCCCCCAGCCCTTGAGCCCGCATCTGTGTAGGCCAAGCTGCCTCCCCAGAGCTCCGAGCACCCTGCAGGTAGAGCCCTAATCTGCTGGTCTGTCCCAGACCCCAGCCCGGGAATTATCTGTTAGTCTTGTGCGCGCAACTCTGGGAGAAAACGGGGAGGTGAGACGGGGTGTGTGTGGGGAGGTAGGGGCTCCCACCTCTTGGAGCAGCCCCTCCAGGTAAGAAAAGCTAGGCCGGTCGGCGGGGTGGGGGGCCCAGCAGCGCAAGGCGAGGGCGTAGAGCGCCCTGGAGCAGAGGGAAGGCCGAGGCAGCCGGGCCCGGTCCTGCTCCAGCCGCTGCAGGATGAGGTACGGCGGGACCCCGACCCAGGGCTCCTTGCCCCCGGAGAACATCTCCCACAACGTCACCCCAAACATCCACACGTCTGACGCAGAAGAGAAGGCCCCCTGGCGCAGGCTCTCCGGCGCGCACCTGCGGAAACGCTGCTGAACTGGGCCTCGGGGGGGGGGGGGGGGGGGGGGGGGGGGGGGGGCGTTTCCCCCAGCGCGACCTCCGCAGCGCCACCACCGCCCTCCCTGATCTCCTTCCCAAACCCTTCCGAATCCTCTTCCCGGCCTCCCCGGGGGGCCTGGCACGCCCATGCCGCCCGGATCCGCGCCCCCTCGGCCCCTCACCAGGCGTAGGGGATGGGGCGGGGCCCGCCCATGATGTAGCGGCCCCGGGCGCCGCGAAGCGGCCGCACCAGCCCGAAGTCCGCCACCTTGACCGTGCGCGGGGAAGCCAGCAGCAGGTTGCGTGTGGCGAGGTCTCGGTGCACCAGCCCGCGGGCCCCCAGGTACGCCATGGCCCCTGCCAGCTGCCGCAGGAAGAGGCACAGCAGGGCCACGGGCAGCGGGGGTGTCGGGGCCGGCGCGGTCAGGCGTGCGTGCAGGGAGCCCAGCGGCGCCAGCTCCATCACCTGCCGGAGCGCGGCGCCGCCTGAGCAGAGGTCTGCCCCACTCCCCGCCGCCCACCCCGGCCTCTGGCCCCTTCCCTCCCTCCCATTGCGCCCCTGCCCTGGGAGCTGCTGTCCCGGCCGGCTCACCATCTGCAGAGGCTGGCCCAGTACGAGGCCGTGCAGACGCAGCACGTGCGGGTGCTCCAAGTTCATCATGACGGACACCTCTCGAAGGAAGTCCCCCAGCTCTGTGCCCACGGGGCCTTCAGGACCCACCCGGAGGGACTTGACAGCCACTGGGACCTGGGGCGTCACAGGGAAAGGACACTCTCTGGCACCCAGAGCAGAGAGGGCATGCAGGGCAGGGGGCAGCCAAAATTTATACAAAAAAAAAAAAAAAAAAAAAAAAAGGAAGAAAGAAAGAAGGAAGGAAGAAGCAAAGACCAGAACAGCGGCTGGCCCCAGCACCCAGAATGAAGGAGGCTCCCCGGACTCACACTCTGGCCACTGGGCAGCGTCCACAGCCCTCGGTGCACCACGCCAAAGCAGCCAGAGCCCAGCAGCTCCCCTCTGCACACGGCACCATCTGGGATCAGACACTTGAGTCCCCCCTCGGGCTCAGGGAGGGACAGGGGGCTGTCGGGAGCTGAGGTGGTCTCTTTCTGCTCAGGTGCCAAGCCCCCAAGGATCTGAAGCAGGGGTGGGAATTAAGTGTGTGGAACCCTGTACCACTCCTCCCTGATGCTCGGCCCGCCCTAGTCCCGGGCCTAAGCTGGCCCTTTAAGCCTGTTGCCCCCCCCTACCCCAAAACACACACCTTGTAGACCCAGTTCTTTGACTTGACCCCCGAACGGTGCTTCTTCAGAGCCTCGGCGAGTCTGCGCTGGGCTGGGGAAGGTCAGAATCAGGGCACGTGGGTGGTACATGATGGGCCGTGGGGGCAGGTCGGGAGGCAGGAGGATTTACAGGCCAGAAGAGGGCTGGTGGGGGGCAGGCTGAGGAAGAAGAGACCAGGGGCCCCTTACCAGGCCGGCCCATTCCAATGCCATCCAGGTCCTCGGGCCTGACAAAGTCAAAGTGCTCCGGCCGGGTCACATTAAGCTCCTCAAGGATGGGTCGGTAGAACTGGGCCAGCTGGATGTCCCGGAGCAGTCTCAGCAGCCACAGTGAACTCGCCTCAGGGACCATGTCTGGAGAAGGCATCCCGGAGGTCCATGCATCCAGCTCTAGACACAAAGCCCATGGGACTCCCAGACAGCAGAAACTGGGCCTCGATCTCCACCCCCCTCCAATCCCATCAGACACACTCAGGTGCAGAGGGAGGGATGCATCAAAGAAAGGCAGGAATCAGGCCACTCCCACAAACCCCAGGAAAACCCCTCCCCACACATACCTATGGTCCCCACCTCACACTTAAGATCCCAGAGCTCTGCAGACCTGACATATGTTCCTCTTCCCACTCTTGAGATAGGACAGCATCCTGCTCCTGGACCCCTAGGACACCCGGGTACCACATCCCTGCCAGGGATGCCCAGATATGCTAACCACAGTGCCTCCGCCCTGCCGATGCGCGTGCCCAGACACACGGGAACCTGCCTCCACACTTGGAAACACTGCTACACACACACACACACACACACACACACACACGGAGACCTACAGATATGCTGCAAAAGACGGCTGAGCCACCCAGACACATGGCCTTTCAAGTCCGAAGTGTTCCAGAATGCTGCCGTGAACCATTCCTGCGCGCCTACCAGTGACACTGAGGTTCACGGCCTCTGAGATACACCACGCCACGTGTCGGAGTCTTCAAGGTCCACAAAAACACACAGCACACGAGATGGCCAGGATCCATGTGCCCACACCTCTGAACTACGCATAGGGCCCATCGGCTCCGAGATGCCCAGGCTCACCGCCTGGTCGGCACCCGAGGCAGCCACGCCTGAAATCACTGGGCGTTTGCGACCCGCGGTCAGGTGCAGGCTGAGCTAAGCTCGGGCACTGCCCACGGAGCCAGGTGCTGCCGGGTGCACAGTCCCTTCCACACCCACCTGCGTTCAGCTGCAGGAGCCCTGCCCGCACACCTGAGTCACTCAATCCGACCAGGCTTCCAGGCAACTCCCCCAGTCTGAGCTAACCAAGGCCGGGGGCTGTGGGCGCTGCCTGCACCGCGCTCTCCCTTACACGCACCTGGACGCCCCCCTCCACCTTTAATTAAACCCTGACGAAGGGCTGAGCTAGGGGCTGGGCGCGCGGAGGGGCGAGGAGGGAGGAGGCCGGGACCCAGGGAGACCGCCAGCAGGTGGGAGGGAACAGCAAGGTGAGGTGGGAACAGTACCCGAAGGGGGAAGGGAGGAAAGGCGGCCGCGGAGGGGAGGGGAGGCGAACAGGGCATCCGCGGACGCACCCCAAGCGACGGCCTCTCCTGCGGCCCCGGTGCCCCGCGTCCCCTCCCCGCGGTACCCTCACCTGGCGAAGGCGGAAGCTGCGGCGGCGGAACCACCCTGGCCGCCAGCACTAAATCCCGGGGGGCGGGGCCGCAGCCGCGGGGGCGGGGCCGCAGGCCGTAGGGGCGGGGCCTGGCGCCGCGCGGGGGAGCCCTACCACGCCTCTCGCCCCCAACCCGGGAAGGCCTGAGGCGGCGGAGCGGGGGGGGGGGGGGGGGCGCCACCCCGGTGGCAGACTGGCCCTCCTCCTTCCCGGCCAGACCCGGAGAAACCCTTCTCCCGTCTTTTCCCTCTCTCTTCCTCTACATCCTCTTTCCCGCCTCTTTCAAAGAACTATTCATCCCTCCCAGGCTTCCTGGGACTTTGGGGTCCTGTCCCCCGTGTCCCCTCTCCCCAAATCTTTCACCTCTCCCGGCCAGAGCCCCACCCCTTACGCGGATCAGCACCAGATGGAGAAATGCTGCCCAGGCCCTGGGAATGTGAGGCTAAACAGGAGAGTGGGCGTCCTAGCCCCCACATGGGGGGAGGCAGGGTAGCGCAGGGCGCTCTGAAATGGAACCAGGGCGGACAGGTGTTGCTGGTGCAAGAAGTCAGCCCTCAGCCCACGTTGTCTAAGATTGGAACCGTTGTCCCTGGCCGGGCTCTGAATATTGGTCCAGTGTGCTGCCCAGAAAAAGGACCTTTTGGTAGCTCCCCAGGGTAGAACACGCGGGAGGTCTTGTGTGTGGGTGGGCTCCTGCCCCCCATCCCCGCTTTGTACCTAGTCTGGGTGGCCAAGGGCAGCACCCCATGCTTTAGGGCACCCCTCCCCATAACTGGCACTTAACTGGCCACGTTCTGGCTCAACCCTCCTTCCCCCCCGTAATCTCTGTACACTGGCTGCAGGGATAGGGGCCACAGGTCGAAGTCCAGAACCTCCAAAAAGGCTCTGAGGAGGAGCATTCCTCTCCTTTTCCCTCAGGGGTCCCAGGGAGGAAGTCACGAGTCTCAGGACATCTGGCGTGTCTCCTGTCCCAAGGAAGGATGTGCAAGCTGTCCCCAGAGTCCCTTGGGGGGAACACCCACCCCAACCTGGTAAGCATACAGGATATTCCAACACTGATGGGAAAATTTTTATAGTTTACAGTTCAACCTGTTTGGTTTCCTTGCCTTCTCTTGCCCTCCAGCAAGGCCAGCTTATCACACTGTAATAGCTCCCTCCACATCTGATGTCCCTGCTATACTGTGGGATCCTCATGGTAGGGGCTGGATCTGTCTTGTCTATCCTTGTGTTTTGTTTTATATTTTATTTATTTATTAGAGAGAGAGAGAGAACGCACAAGCAGGGGGGTGGGAGAGAGAGAAGCAGGCTCCCCACCAGCAGGGAGCCTGACACGGGGCTCGATCCAAGGGCCACAGGATCATGACTTGAGCCAAAGGCAGATGCCCAGCCACTGAGCCACCCAGGAGCCCCTCATCCTCTTGTTCCTAGTCTTAGTATCTGGGACAGTGTAGGCATGTAACAGGTACAGTGCATATTGTTTGCAAAGAAGTCTGCTCAGTCTGTCATTCCTCTGTCCTTTCTCCCTGCTTTTAAGACATCATTGGTATTTTGTAGTTCTATTAAAAAATATCTAGGTATGGATTCTTTTTTACTCATTCTGATCACTGTGTTGTATTTCCTGTATCTATGAATCCATATCTTTCATTGGTTTTGGAAAATTCTCAGCTAGTATCTCCTCAAACATTATTTTTCCTCCGTTCTTTGGCTCTCCCCCTTGGGGACTCTGATTAGCATTATTCTAGATCTTTTCATTCCATCCCTCATGTTGTTTAAACTCTCTTCTATATCTTTCGATCTTTGGGTCACTGTGATGCCATCCAGGCAATCTCCTTAGGTCTATCTTCCAGTTCACCAATTCTCTCTTTGGTTATGTCTGATGTGCTGTTTAATCCATAGTCTGAGGGATTTTTGTCATTGATACAAACACTGGCAACTTTGTATGCTGACAGTACTTTATTGAGGTATAACACATTTAGGAACATGCCCAGATTTAACTGTATAGCTCAATGCATTTCTTCTTTTTTTTTTTTTTAAGATTTTTATTTATTTAAGAGAGAGAGAGAGAGTGCATGAGCAAGGGGAGGGGAAGAAGTAGAGGGACAAGCAGACTCCCTGCTGAGGAGGTAGCCCTGAAGCAAGGCCAAGTCCCAAGACCCAAGATCATGACCTGAGCTGAAGTCAGGTATCTAACTGACTGAGCCCTCCAGGCGCCCCAGCTCAATGCATTTCAACCGATGTACATGTGTATTGGTGCTGATAAAGACCCAGAACATTCCAGTGATCTTGGAAACTTACCTTGTGTCCATTGTTAGTCAATTCCAGTGACCATTCTCATGTCTAAAACCCATAGATCACTTTTTCCCCCAAAGATTTTATTTATTTATTTGACAGAGAGAGATCACAAGTAGACAGAGAGGCAGGCAGAGAGAGAAGGAAGCAGGCTCCTGTGAGCAGAGAGCCCCTGATGGGGCTCGATCCCAGGACCCTGAGATCATGACCCTCTGAAGGCAGAGGCTTAGCCCACTGAGCCACCCAGGGGCCCCCATAGATCACTTTTTCTTGCTCCCGACCTTCTTATCGATGGAGTCACAGGCTGTAATTGCCTTCAGCTTCTTGGACTCAAAACGTTTTTTGAGACTCATCTTGGTGTTGTCCGAGTTCTTGATGGGGATCACATGGTTCCCTGAGCTTTTTGGGGGAAGAATGCGTGACACCTGATTTTCCTCCAAAAGTCCAGCATCTTTACAGATCTGGGAGCACCAGAGGTCCTCCAGGAGTTGAACACATACGTGTGGAGGACATGGGGACACAGGAAGCAGCTGCTGCCAGAGAGGCTGGCAGGAGCCAGGTCAGGCACCATGTTGTCCTTCAGCAAGCTCTCACTGTCTCAGGTTCTAGGGAACAAGCAGACACGATCCCTGGCCTGGTGGGGTTCACTCTACAGGGCCTTGGAGAACACGGTCAGGAGCTTGGGCCTTATCTGAGGGCTCTGATAACCGCTGGATGGTTTTAGGAGAGGAGTGAGAGAACCAGGCGGCTGCGTAAGCAACTGGGAAAAAGAGAGAGGAAGGACAGGGAGCTCCTGGAAGAGGTTCTCGCCGGTTCAGGGGAGAGAGGTTGGCCCTGCTGAGACCTTGGCAATGGGATGGAGAGGAGGTGAAGGTAGGGGGCTTCCCCGACTGGACTCTGGGCCTAGGTCCTGTGCTCCAGCAGGAAATCAGACTGTTTTTCCAGCAGGAAACCGGACACGGAGGCTCAGCCCCACCTTTGCCTTTAGCTTGGAAAAAACCCAGGGAGTGAGAAGCCTCTTTTTTCCTCCCCTTCTCCCTCTTCGCATCTTACTTCTGGAGCTAAGCTTCTCTCATCCCCACCCGTGTGGGAAGTGCTGCCTGACTGCTCTCGGGGGGCACCCCTTCTAAGCTGAGATGGAGCGTCCTGCTAAGCTTGGAGGCCTGGGTTGGGCACCAGTCCCACTCGGTCTGCCTTTCCCCAACCCCGGCCCTGCCCCGCGGGCTCTGCATCCGAGAAAGATGAGCACACGCACACCCCCGGCCAAGTCTTTGCCCAGAAGGCAGGGAACCAGAAGGGTAAGCAGAAAGGCCCTCTGGTATCTTCCCCACCTACTGCCTTGGGTTTGGGTGGGGGGTAGGGCCCATCCCTCTGCGGAAAACTCTCCTCTCCTACTGGGAGCCACATCAGCACCCCCATAGCCCCTCCCTTCCTGCTCTGCTCCCTGAGATCACGGGCCTCTCCCCTGCCATCTTACCTATGCCAACCTCTCAACAGGGGAAAATCCCTCTCTCTCTTTTGGGCCTTTGTGGGGCTGTTCCCTCTGCTTGGAAGTCCTCCTACCCTTATCCGGATCTGGCTAAGGGCAGGAGGCCTGAACCCCGACATCTCTGCTTCCCGTTATCACACTCATTGCTATTCTGACCTTGCCAGTAACTTGTCTGTCTCCCACTGCTCGATTCCAAGTTCCAGGCAGAAAAAGACTCGATCTTGTCTGGGTTTTGCTGTGTCCCTCCTGCCCAGTCTAGGGCCTGGCTCACAGGGTAGGTGCTCAGTAACCTTTTATGAACAAATGGGTGAGATGACGTCATCTGGGTCGGGGGAGGCCAAGGAGACTTTTTGACATCAGGAGCTCCTTTGCTGGGAGTGATGCTGATGGGAGAGCCCAAACCACCCCCATCAGCATATCCCGGTGAACCTGTCCCTGCCTCTCTCCCCGTTTGGCCTCCCGTGCTTAGCTCTTCCTAGACCCTGGGGTGAAACCCTCCTGTTCCATCACCCCGTCTCCATCCCCCGGCTCCTGGAGGCCCGTCCCTTCCCAGTTTGGATTTGCCTTGCTAGAGTCACCAGCCAGCCCACCATGCTGTATGTCCCTGTTGGTTTGCTTTCCGAAGTGCGAAGTGCCCCTGAATCCACCCTATTCCTCCAAGGTCACCAAGGAGCACAGCATAGAGCCCACCCCCCGAGTCTGATCACCAGCATTGGAGTCCCTTCCCTGTCACTTGTCATCGGTGACTCTAAGCAAGTTACTTCCTGTTTCTGTGCTCCTGCGTCCACGTGTGCGGCAGCCAGAGTGGAGGCCAATGACCCCCCATCCGCATCAATGTCGTTGTACACAGCGCCCTCCTGGGGGATCAGGGCCGACCTAGGGCATCAGAGGGATAGCGCAGACAGACAGTGTGGCTTCCGCCTTCCTCTCTCAAGCCCCTCCCTCTGGAGAAGTCCGGCCACTGTGTCATGAAGAGGCACAAGTGGTCCTAGGGAAAGGCTCTTCACGCCCAGGGACAGAGGCCTCTTGCCCACAGCCAACGCCAACCTGCCAGGCATGCGAGTGAGCCAGCTTGAACATGGTCCTCCTGCCCCGGTCAAACCTCGGATTTCCGTGACCCTGACCGACCTCTGGACAGCACTGTCCTGGGAAGCTGCGAGCCAGAACCACACAGCAAAGCTGCTCCCGAATTTCTGATCCGCAGAAACTCTGAGATCGGGTTTATTGTTTTAGGCCATTAAGCTTTGGAACAATTTGTTATGCAGCTGTTGGTGACTAATACAGAGCGTGAAATGCTTGGAATCACGTCGGACGCGTCATCGCCCTCCGGGGTGGCCAGCGTTCACGTTCGTTTTACAGGGAGGAGATGGAGTCTGGGGCTGGCGAGTGACTCGCAGCTGGAAGGGCGTGGCGAGTTACATCGTGAACATAGGGCCCGTCGGTGCCAGGTCCTTGGCTCCTTTATCTGCCCCACGGTTCGAGCGGTCTGCTGCCGAGCCGTAAGGCCTGGAGGCACGGGTCGACTCTCCGATCGTGCTCCTGGGGTCTGAGAATTTGGAGTTCCAGCAGGACAGGGTAGGGGTGGGTTTTCACTGTTCGACTGGGTCTGGAGGTGAGTTGACAGCCGGGGGCTGTCTTATCTTCCCACGGGGACAGTCGATGCTGCCTTTTGACCCAACTCCTCAGTGTGGACCCTCCATGTCGCTGGGGCTCCTCACCGCATGGCGACTGGGTTTCTGAGTGGATGTCCCAGGAGACAGAAGGCAGAGGTTGCCGGTTTCTTTAGGACATGGCCCAGTGTCACTCCTGGCACATTCAGCTGGCCAGCGATAGAGGAAGGCGTGCACAGACCCTGCCTGTCCACAGGAGACGTGTCAAAGAATTTAGGGGCTATTGTTTGAAACAGCCAGAGCCTGAGTAGCCTCTGTTCTTGGGTGAGGGGCTCAGGGAAGACTTTTTTTTTTTAAATATTTTATTTATTTATTTGACACAGAAAGAGAGCACAAGCAGGGGGAGTAGCAGGCAGAGGCAGAAGGAGAAGCAGGCTCCCCGGCAAGCAAGAAGCCCAACGCAGGACTTGACCCCTGGACCCTGAGATGGTGACCCTGACCGGACGGCAGACGCTTCACCAACTGAGCCACCCAGGCGCCCCTAGAGGGAAGGTTTCTAAGGAAACACCACCAACATGATGTAACAGGTGCCACAGGAGAGACGTTTAGGGAAGGGACACTCAGATCCGCTTGAGAAGCTCCCAGCAGGCTTCTCGGAAGAGGTGACATCAGAGGCAAGGGAGAAGGGCATTGGGGTGTGCAGACGAGCCCAGGCAAAGGCAAGGAGCCAGGAGTAAACAAAGGGTTTGGGCAACTACCAGTGTGCAGTGTGGCTCTGGGGTGGGCAGAGCTGCGGAGACACAGAGCCCCAGGGACGTGTGGGGACCAGACTGCAGAGCACACTCACAGCTGAGAAGTACACACGCGCATGAGAGCCAGGGACAGTCCATCAGACGCTCAGCGCTGCTGTTAACCTTGAGGGAGACGCGAAAAGAGGAGCGGGCGGGTCTGGGAGGGAAGTGGGTTTGGTCCAGGAGACTCCGAAAGCCCCGTGGGGCATTCAGGTAGAGATCCCACGTCGAGCTGGGTTTGGCCAGCTCCGGGATGAGGACCCTATAAGACGTGGGGAACCTTGAATGTCAGGGTCAACGTCCAGGTCTATATTCCATAGGCAGGAAAGAGCTAGGGAAGGACTTCAGTAAGAGATCGCAACGGCTAAAGCTTAGCGAGGGCCCAGCACGTGTTGGGCGCCGTCCCAAGCATCATCCCTGAACTTATCTGAACCTCGCGGTAATCCTGTGAGGGTCAAGTGCTGGCAGAGTTCCCCGAAGTGAAGAGATCACTGCTGGTGATATAGAACATCATGGCACAACATGTCTTCGACGGCCAAGCTGTTAAAATGTAAACAGAATAAAAACAGAAAAAGCCATCGAATCAATGAACTGCGTGATTTGCCTTTCAAGGAACGGAGAAGTTACAATAACTTACCCGAGGTCTGGTGAGACACAGAGCCAGGATCTGAAACCCCGGCAGCCCGACTACGAAGCCCGAGTTCTGAACCATCTTTTGACGCTGGACGGGAGGCCGTCCACAGTGTGGCGCTTCGAGAAGATCCGTGCGCCCACGGAGGGTGCGGCGGCGGAGAGGGGAGTGGGCTGTCAGATGGCACCCTTGGGAGACTGGCGTCTGCAGTCAGAGGGGTCTAGAGTGGGCTGGGGCCACAGGACAGGAGGAAGGCACAGACAGGGTAGAAGGCACAAGGAGGGGCAGAATCGGTTGACCCACTGGGCACTGAGTGTGAAAACAAGGACAACTCCCACATGTGGAGCCTGGAAAATGGGTACAGTGTCGGGGGGGTACGAGGCAGCTGGCACAGACCAGCGGGAAGCTGTGGGGCCTGGGCGGCCAGCAGCCACGGCTTCTCATCCCGGCTGGGGCGCTCACTAGGAGTCAAAGGAATGGATGAACGAGCTGTATGATCTTGGGCAAGCTGTAGGAATTTGATATATGATCTCTGGGTCTCTCTTTTTTTGGGTGCAAAATAACAGATTGGACTAGAATGTGTGAAATAAACTGGAAGGTACTTTCCTAGAAGAGGTAGGCATTCCTTTCTCCATGGCGTGTGCTACATGGGCACCCCAAAACAGGGGTTCTAGCCTTGGCTAGCTGTAAGATGAACCGAGGTCCCATTCGACACCACTAAATCCAGCATTCCTGGATATAAGGTCCAGGGATGGATAATTGGTGGGTTTTGTTTTTTTGTTTTTTTTTAAGATTTTATTTATTTATTTGACAGACAGAGATCACAAGTAGGCAGAGAGGCAGGCAGAGAGAGAGAGGAGGAAGCAGGCTCCCTGCTAAGCAGAGAGCCCGGATGTGGGGCTCGATCCCAGTACCCTGGGATCTTGACCTGAGCTGAAGGCAGAGGCTTTAACCCACTGAGCCACCCAGGTGCCCCGGTTTTGTTTTGTTTTTTAATATTTTTTTTTTTAGGGGCACCTGGGTGGCTCAGTCATTAAGTGACTGCCTTCAGCTCAGGTCATGATCCCAGCGTCCTGGGATTGAGCCCCACATCGGGCTCCCTGCCCGGCGGAAGCCTGCTTTCCCTCTCCTAGTCCCCCTGCTTGTGTTCCCTCTCTCGCTACGTCTCTTTCTGTAAAATAAGTAAATAAAATCTTTAAAAAATAATAATTTTTTTTTAGATTTTATTTATTTGACAGAGAGATCACAAGTAGGCAGAGTGGCAGGCAAAGAGAGAGGAGGAAGCAGGCTCCCTGCTGAGCAGACAGCCCGATGAGGGGCTCGATCCAAGGACCCTAGAATCATGACCTGAGCCGAAGACAGAGGCTTTAACCCACTGAGTGGTGGGTTGTTTTTGTTGGTTTTTTAATTTAATTTTATTTTATTTGAGAGAGAGTGAGAGAGAGCATGAACCATGGGTAGGGGCAGAGAGAGAGGGAGAAGCTGGCTTCCCCTGCGCAGGGAGCTGGATATGGGGCTCGATCCCAGGACTCAGAGATCATTACCTGAGCAAGAGTCATGCGCAAATGACTGACCCCCCCAGGCACCCCAGGACGGGTAGTTTTTGAAGCTGCCCAGATGACTGCAATGGACGGCTGGATGACAGCTTTTACCCTGGAGCCTCCAGGTACCCAGTTTGAAAACCACGGGTCTAGGTGCAGGCTGGGATCCCTTCCAGGCCCAGGCCCTCGGACTGCGACTTGTGGCTGGTGACGGGCTAACTCTTTCTACGTTTCATCTTCCACCCACCCAACCGAAACCTTCTGACAGCTGGGGGGCCAACGCCAGGGTTTCTCCAGCACAAACAACTGAGGTCCTAGGACGGGAGAATTGTTGGAGACGACTCCCCTGTGTGTTGTGGAGCCCAGCACCCCCGGCTTGCACCCACTGGATGCCAGGAGCACATCCCCTGATAGAAAACATCTCCAGATGTCGCCAAAGGTCTCTTGGGGTGGAACCCAACCCCCCACCCCCACCGCCACTGTCCTTCCAGCCGAGAACCACTGTGCCACCCTGAGTCTCCCGCCCCCCTCTGCCCTCCCCAGTTGCAGACAGAGGCCAGGCAGGGGTGGAGGCCATCTGACAACAGGTTTACTTGGCCTTGGCAGGAGGGACGCCTCTGTGGGAGGCCAAGGCTTCACAATATTAAATGGAGGGAGACCCTGCCAGCAGGCTGACTGATGTGGTCTCAGCTCTGGAGGGAGTTTTCCAAAACACTCATTCCCGGATTCCCAATCAGTCACAAGAGGGCCAGGAGGAGCTTCTGGGGCAGGCGGCCCCTGCTTTCCGAGAACAGGCGGGAGGGGGAGTGGGAGGGTGGCGAGGAGGGGATTCTTTCCTTCTGTAGATAATTTCCTGGAACCAGCGGCTGGCTGCTCCTGTCTGATTAGTTGAGGGCTGGAGGGGAGGATACTTCCAGTGGGGTGCCTGGGTCCTGGGAGGCCCTCTGACACTGGGATCAAGGGGATGTCTGGGCTTCCGGGTCTGGAAGGCTGAACCTCGGGGAGTGGAACTCAGGGGCTGGCTGATCCCCTTGGAGGGAAGTGGAGGTTGTGGGTTCATGGTCTTTAGAACTGGAGGCTGGGAGGGCATAGAAACCTTCACTCGTCCTTTTTTCTTCCAAGTAACTGGACCTGAGGGCAGACAGACAGTGGGAGGCCTGGGATGGGCAGGGCAGGGTGGAGCCGGGGGAGGGACTGGGGGGCTCAGAAGTGACGAGGCCCCTGCCGCTCTTACCCCGCCCCCGACTCACTCCACCATGAGGCTCAGAACACCCAGCAGGAAGGCAGCCACCAGGAGAGCGAGGAGCAGAACCCTGGCTTCCCAGAGATCGTGACTTCCTGCAGGGAACCCAGGAAGCAGTGAGGGACCCGGCGACCTCGCCAGCCGTCGCGGTGTGGGCGGGGGGGGCGGGGGTAGTGGCCGAGAGCTCAGAGACCTGAGCCAGGGGAGGCCGGGCGGAGGGGTAGAACCTGGGAGGCAGCGCTTTCGGGGCCAGCAGCAGACGTCGAGTTCCTGGCAGGTGGAGCAGTTGTACACGACGGTGCTGCCGCCTGCAGGACACAGCGGGAACGAGCTGGGGCAGGGGAAGCCCCGGCTCAGCCTCCCAGAGTACCCCCCCCTCCCATCGCCGCCTCCACCACAACAGCCAGGCTCTCCTCGGGCACCCCAGATGCCCGCGTCCTCACTACTCTTTCCTTTTCTACTCACGGCAGGCAGGCGCGCAGAGAGCTGAAAGCAAAGACAAGGAGGGGTGGGGGGAGGGGAGTCGCTCGGCCACGCCCCCCCCCTTTTCCCGAGCGCCCGGGCGCCCCCATCCCTGGCGGCATCAGTACCTTCCCTGGTGTAGGCGGGGAGCTTGGTGTTTTGCAGCCAATGCCGATACAAAGGGAGGGAGGAGAGAGACCCTTTGATCTCTGGGGAGACAGAGGGCAGCGGTGTCTCCCGGCGCCTTGCCAAGGCGGGCTCACCTCCACCCTTCCCAAGCAGCACCTCCCCGATCGCGGATCACACCTTCCCGGCTCCACCTGGCCGCCCTCCCCCTGCCTCCCCGCCCCCTCGCAGCTGCCCTTCCAAGGCCCTGGGTCGTGCGTTGCCCCTTGGCCTCACCCATGACCCTCAGAACTCTGTGAGTCTTCTCTATGACATTGTTCATGGACGTCTCATCTGTGGAGACGGGCGGGGACCTGTGATTCTCTCCGCTCGGGGAAAGGCCAGAGTGTCCAGAGAGGGTTGTGGTCTGAGGGGGCAGCTGAGGGGCCCAGCTGGGAAGCCACAGACTGCGCCACTCGGGGTGTGGTGGCCCCCGGTCCCTGGATTTCTGAGCTTACCTAAGGCAAAGGCAGGGAAGCTCCAGGAGGCCCTACAGTCCTTCCACCGTGCCTCTACTCGGCTGCAGAGTTTAGCCAGGCGGCCCGCCAAGTCACGGTCTGGGAGGTGGCAGAGGACACAGGCCTGGGCGGTCGCCAAGAAAACTCCACCTAAGGCCAGCATCCACATGAGGCCTGCTGGCGGGTGGCAGACGGGTGCCCACCCCACTGAGGCCGCGAAGGCCTCTGAATGCTATGATCCTAGTTCCAACTCTTTGCCTGGAGATTGGAGCATGTTCCAGAACAGTTGGGGATTCTAGAATGTTCTGGAATGGTACCCCTGTTCCATCTCTGGCTGGGGCAAAGGTGGGGCCCAAGGAACTCAGGACCTGAAGACCAGGGCAGAGAAAGCAGGGCTTCTGCTACAAAGGGGACAGCACCCCCCAACCTGGCCCTCAGCAGTCTTGACAAGTTTGAGGTTCCACAAAGCAATTTTATTTTTCTTCTTGTAAATCATGACCAGCGATAAATAATGAGCGAGTGCTTCCCCCGGTGAAGAAGCTGTGCATGAGTCTCCCATTCGTGGGGGAACCAGAAATCCCACCCCTTCCCCTGTCCTCCCCCCACTCTCCCCATCTCTTCTGTTCACCTCCCCTCTGCCCTGGGCAGCCTGGGCCTTCCCAGCCATCTCCTAGCAACGTGCCCATAGTTGCCTTAGCAACGGAGAGTTCTGCACGGGCCTCCTAGGCCTGGTTGGGCCCAGAGACTTCTCTTACCTTCCACCAGGAAGATCCTAGTGGCTCAGACCTCCACCGGCTGGTCCTGCCTACGTGGTGATGCGAGCACACATGCGTGTGCACAGCCCCCCCCCCTCTGATGAAACTCCTCACTCTCGATTTACTCAAGAGAGTCACCGGGCAACCCCAAACCGGCCTGGGCATGCAGAGCCCACGGATACCATCTCCGGCAACGCAGACAGGAGCCAGGACGGCAGAGACCCACACGTCGATCAGATGCACTGGCTGGCACACGTGAGCACGTGAACGAAGCAAGCCTAGGACCCAAGCAGATGCCGCCCCTCGTCCCTGGGGCCGGCTCCAGCAATATGGGGCCCTGGAAAACACTTGGGTGTCTAGAGTATGGGCATTCTCCCCAGTTCCCTATGCCGACCTAGGGTAGGGTGTAGCCTTTCTGTCTCCCTTAGACCTGAGACACAGCAAAGAATCCCCCTTCCTATATTCTAGAGTGTTCTGGCCTCTCTTTGGTCAGGCCAGAGCAGGCCTATTCAGCAGCAGGAGAATCCACGGTCCAGGAGACCACATCACACCTATCCGAAGTCCTTCTCCCACACTCCAGTGTCCCTCCAGGGTCCCACTAGGCTGAGCCTGGGCAGAGAGGTGTCCCGACTTTTCTAGAACCTTGAATACGGAGTTCCACCAAGGAGACGCTAGAGGCCGCCAGTCTCCGGCAGGAACAAACTTGAGAACCTTCCCCACCCATCCCAGAATGAGCACCAGTCCAGACCCTTCCTGCGGCTGTGAGCCCTCAGCGCGCTCAGACTTGGGAACTGCTGCCCACGCCTGGGCTCCAGTCAGGTGCAGCGGGAGCCCTGACTCTCACGGCTCCAGAGGCAGAGCTAAGAGGCTTCAGGGGGGCCTTCGTTCCCTTTGCTGTCCACCCTCTCCCCCACCCCTGCCGGACGGGAGGGCGGCAGGCTCAGTGCCGCACAAAGCGCAGAGATCGCGAGTTGAGCAGGTCTTCGGGGTCAGGGAAGATGGAGTCTAGACGGAAACCGTGCTCCAGAGCCACCCGCAGCACCTCCTCCAGGAAGCTGGGTGCGCCCACCACCTCCCGTAGCTCTCCGGGCCCCCCAGTCCACAGAGGCTGCAGACCCAGTCTCCTATACTCCGCCTCGGGGAGTTCTGCGGGACAGGGAGCCCATTCCAGATGAAAGTGTGGGCCTCCCTCTGCCCTGCCCTCACTGGCCACCCCAAATCGGACCCGCATGGCCCCCAGGCACTCGGAGTCCGTGCAGAAGATGTTGGCTCGGAAGGTATCCACCTGTGCGGAGCTCAGCTCGTAGTGGTGCGGGCCCCGGCGCGCGGAGAAATGCACCAGGCGCGGGCTGGCATCTACATCTACGTGGAGCAGGGCAGCTGTGGGTACAGGGGTCCCCCGAGAGGCCTCCAGTTCCCGCAGGGCATCCAGGAGGGGCTGGATCTGGTAGAAGTCGGCCTCTGCCCTGAGAAGGGCTGTCTCCCCATACCCGCGGGGCAGGTCCAGGCGGCCCAGCCTCAGGAAATTGAGGATGTGCCGGAAGGCCTTGCCATCTCTGTCGATGAAGTAGTGGCCGCCTCCCTGTGGGTTGAGGTTGGGGGGTATGGGGGTGCCCGCCCTAATCATGGCCCCCAGCATGGAGTCTGGGAAACGAGTCAGGGTCTCCAAAGTGGTGGAATAGAGTGTGCCCCCCACATTCAGGGTCACAGGGCCCCCAAAAGAGGGGGGCGAAGAGGGCACAGGAGGCGGCGAAATTTTGGGGGAGTACAGGAGACACCAAAAGAGAAGAAAAGGCGGAACTCCCTGGGTGTGGGCAGAACTGGGTCATAAAGTTCAGACTGTCTCAAGGTTGGATGCACAGTTTGGAGCACAAGGCAGTAAGATCTGGGGTTCACCCCAGCTACCTTGTAGTGGGGAAGACGGATTCCGGGCACAGACACGGCCGAAAGCTTGCGAGAACGCTTGAAAAGCGCGGAAGCCAGAGAGGGGAGACAGGATTTCGGTCCAGACGCATTCGATTCTGGGCGGAGGGTCAGCAGCTGGGCTCTGAGGGCTTCAGACAGCGAGTTTCCGGAATCCAACCAGCAGGTGACGGTGGCGAGCACAGGCCGACCCTCGGAAGGACCCACCTTCCGAGTTCTCGGGCAGATCGCCGTCTCCGAGGGCGAGTGCACGCAGGGCCCCGGGAGCCCGTCGCAGGCCTGGCCTGGCCCGGCTCCGCTGCGGGTCTCGGGAGGCAGAGGCGGGGTTGACCGGAGCGGCCGCGGAGGTGCCTCCCTAGCGGCAGGGGAGCGGGGATGCGCGCTCAGCGCGAGCCGGGACCACCGGAAGACTCTGATGGGAGCAGCGGGGAGTCTCGGGACCCGGGCGCCGTCGCCTCCCCGGGTGTCGCCGCAGCCGCCGCAGTCCTCTCCGCCCCCAGGAAGTGGCCTAAGGGCAGCGGTCGGGGCCCTTTAAGAGACAGCCCCGCCTCCCTGGCGCCCCGCCCCCCGCCCCCGCGGGGCTCGCGCGCGGCCCGGGTGGAGGTGGGAGCCGAGAGTCAAGAACCGGAGAGACGGGGCGGACAGGCAGGGCGGGCGCACGCGGGCGGGGGTGGGGTCCCCAGGGTGACTCAGGCGCGTCGCTCCGGATGTGCCCGCGACCGCCTCGCGGGCCCCCAGGTGTGTCCGACCTCACGTCTGCGGCCCAGCGCGTGGCTCGAGGCCCAGCCGTCCCGGGTTTGGGGGCGGTGTCCGCCCGGTCGCTCCCGTCGGGAATTCCCGAGGGGGCGGGTGCTGAGCCGCCGCATTCCGGGGATGCCTGCCGGCCGGGGTGGCCGCACCCCGCTTCTCCGTCCCGGCCCGACGCCAGCTGCCCCCTCCGGGAGGCCGGCCCCCCCCAGCCCACGCGGGCGGCCTCTCCCCGGCCGGACGCATCTGGCCACGTCGCCCAAGGCCGGGAGCCCCGCCCCAGACCCGCCCGGGGCCAGGACGCGTCCACCTCGCCCGCCGGGAGCGGCCCCTAGCCGGCTCGAGCTTGCAGACCCCCTGCGCGCCCGCCGCCCGGCCTGGCCCGAGGGAGGCGCCCTGCGGGGGAAGCACGACGCGAGGCGCACAGCGCGGAGGCTTTAATGGCCCAGGGGCGGCGGGGGTCGGGGGTGTGGGCCCGCGGGAGCCGGGGATCAAAGCGTGTGGAGATCGTGACTGCGGCGGCTCAGCTTCTCCGGGTCGTCCGACGCCATGAGGGAGAAGTCGCGGAAGATGTCCAGATACGTCTCGTCTCCTGAGGGGAGGGAGGCCGGGCTGGGCGGGCGCTCGGCAGCGTCGCAGGGACGTGCGCCCTCCCGCGCGCCCAGTACGCGTCTGTGGACTCGGCGGTGGAAGTAACCAGGGCGGCCCAGCGGGCCTTCAGGGACCAGAAGCCCAGAACTGCAGTGTGGGGCGGGGCGGGAGGCTCTTTACCTGCCTGGCCCTGGGCCGCTTCCACCTCTCTCATCTTCGCCAAGCGGAGCCTGGAGGGGAGGAATTACGGCCCGGAGACTCTCGTGGCGGCCCCACTCCCAGCTGCCCACCCTCGGAGCTGCGGTGAAGTCGCCTGCTCCCCCGAGGCCAGTGCTTGCAGACGCGCACGGGCCACGAAGCCCCTCACGCGGGCGGACCTCACCATCCGTGGACCCTGCCCCCCCCCTTCCTGCTCCACGCCCCAGTCTACACTCGCAACTCCCCGCCAGGTCCCGGATCCCACCCGCGGTTCCCCCGGCTCCGGCCACACGCGGGGCCCCGGCGTTAGCTCCGCCCCAGGTGGGTCGGGCAAGCGTTGGCCCCGCCCCTAGACCTCCTCACAAGGTAACGATGTCGGCGTTGGCCGTTTCCATGGCGATGGTCAGAGGGTCTTTGCCTTCCGAGTCCCGAGCTCCCACATCGGCCCCTCGTTTCAGGAACAGACAGGCCAGCCTGGAAATAGCGAGGTTCAGCCGGCCACTCACCCCATCCGCGCACCCTTCCTTCCCACAGCCGGGGTCCCTGCCCACCCCTACCCCGTGTGGCCCAGAATGGTTGCATGGTGCAGCGGCCCCCGGCCGTGGTTGTCCGCTTGGTTCACGTTCGCCCCATTCTGGAGGAGAAACTCACAGGCCAGAAGAGAATTCTGCACAGAAGGGTTGAGAACAGGAGAAGGTAGCATCTTTAGAAGCTGACCCAAGATGTTTTAAGATGGGGTCTGTCCAGGGGCTGGGGTATGGTGCGTGGGGCTCTGCTCTACCTCTTTAGCTGTACTGACCCATGAAGTCCACAGTACAATCTCATGAGGTGAGTGACCCTATTTTACAGATGAGCGAACTGAGGCACACACAGCTTCACAACCGTGAGTGGTGGGAGCTCGGATTCAAACCCGGGTGGTCTGCTCCCAGACCACACACAACCCTAGCAACCAGTGTCTCTCGGTCATCATTCCTTACAGGGTCAGAGGAGGGGTGAGAGGTGGACCCCAAATCAGAGAGGGATCAGAGGGAAGGAGCCTAAGGGTGGGACGGGGAGGTCAGTGAGACTCACAGCAGCTGTGGCCTGGATCAGGGGAGTGGCATTCTCCCGGCCGGCGTTCACCCAGTTCACATCAGCTCCATGGGCAAGGGCGTCAGCCATGGTGGGGAGGGAGGGAGGGTGCCCAGCAGCTCGAAACAGCAGGGCCCCAGGGTGGAGGCTGCCCAGGTCCTCGGACGGGGGCTCTGGTGGAGGGAATCGGCTATCAGTCTGGTATGAAATCCTCAGCACAGTCCCCAGATGCTCTACAGGGAGGCCTGCTGGACTCCCAGGACTGCAGTGGGAGGTGGAGGGTTGGGGGGGGTGTGTCAGGCCCGGGGGCATGGGGCAGGGACAGCATCATTCATTAACCTCTTCCTGTTCAACTATCTGGGTGGCCCAGACATCTCCAGTGAGCACTCAGCCTCCGCGCCCCGTTCCCTGCACTCTGGCCAAGCGCACGCCCTCCACCCGCCTCTGGGACCCCCAGCGGGCTCCTCACTCCTGACTTTTCTCATGCAGTTGAGACCCTCCCTGCCTGTGTCCAGCCCTACACTCCCTCCCGTCCTTCCCTTAACCCCTGAAACTCTTGCCTTGTGAAAAAAAGAACCCATGCTGGTGTGGGCCGCCCCGCAGCCCCCAACACTGGCAAGGGGAAGGCCGGGGCCTCATGCTCTGTGCTTTCTGGCAGAATGCTGGGCACACAGCCGGGCTCCATTACTGTCTGAGCAAGGCTATACCTGGCCTGGATTTGACGCTCCCTGGCCGGGGCCTGACAGAAGGCTTGGGGGGCAGAGGAGGCTGCCCCTTGGGGGGGTCCCCGGCCGCCTCTTCGTCCCCGAATCTCAGGAAGCTTGGTCAGAAACTTCTTCTCCACGTACTTGGCATGAATCCAGGCCTCCTTCTCCTGCCTGGCAGAGCATGGTGGGGAAGAGGGGGACCGTCTCCCCTCCTCCAGTCCCAGACCCTCTTCCTCCCTGTAAGCACCTCCACACCACCCCCACCCTCACCGGGAGCAGCTGGGCCCTGGTTTCTTCACGGCCATGGCCTCCACGCGGGCCTCGTAGATCTGGTTGATGACGACATTCCCCAGCTCACACATAAGCTTCCGGAGGCGCAGGCAGAGGCAGAGACAGACAGGTGGGAGGGAGGTGAGTGTCTGAGCCCTCGGGGCACGCAGCTCAGAACTCACCCCGCCCCCCCTTCTCATCGTGGCGCCCCAAGTCACCTTCACCAGCTCTGGCTCCCACGAGTCAAGGGTCAGAGACCGGACTTTGGAGAAATGAACCCCGAGGCTCCTGGAGGGCCAGAGTGGGGGTCAGGCTCGCTGTGGGGCCTCAGGCACTGACCAGGAGGCCACAGGGCTGGGGGCCACCTGGCCTGGCTCTGCCTACTGCTCCCTCTTCTCCCTTCTCCTCCAGGTCAGTTTTCAGCCTCATCATTTCCAGCCACCTCCCTTCTCACCCTGTGGTCACCCCCCACCCCCGACCCCTGCTTCCGCCAGACTCGCAGAGGCCTTGTGGCCTCTCCTCTCTTTCTGCTCTTCGGGGGTTCCCCTGCCCTCAAGAGCCCTGACCCCACACCCCACTCAAGCCAATAAACTCCTGGGGCAGGACCAGGACACAGTGCCCTGTGTGAGCCAGGCAGGGCAGGGTGGGAGGGAGGGCGGAGCCTGTACGCTGGGCTCCAGCTGGCCCCCTCCCCCTCCCCCAGCAGGAAGGAGTGGGGCCCCCACGGGGGGGGGGGGGGGTGGCGGGGAGTGACCTGTGGATGCCAGAGCACTGGATGCAGAGGGTGACGCCCAGGTTGATGCTGGCCCATTCCGGGGCTGGCTCACGGCAGTCGCAGCACTGGGCATTGCCGTCCACACCCTGCACCTGGGCGGCCACGTGCCCCACTCCACTGGGCTCCCTGCCCCGGGCCATCCCGCCACAGCCCAGGGTAGCCGAGGAGCCCGCGGCCAGGTATCCCGAGCCCTGGGGGAAACAAGGGAAGAGAGAGTGGCCCTGGGGCCTGGGGAAGGGGTGGGCCTCCCCTCCCCGGGGACCCCGTTCCCTGCACCATCCACGGGAAGGCACCTGGCCGGGCCCCCGGGGGCTATCATCCAGGCGGGCCTGGCTGAAGGCCGAAGCGATGCTGCTCTGCACGGCGCTGACCCACAGGTGCAGGAGGCGCTCGGAGTCAGCCTGCAGGAGGCAGGACCTGCGGGAGTGGGGAGCAGAGGGGGCAGTCTGAGCCCCGGGAGCCACAGGC